GACACACAGGGACAGCCCCAAGTCCTTACTTCTTCTCGCCTTTGTACCACTCGAAGGCCGGAGGCGGCACTCCCGCGCCTTCACACCGGATCAGTCCGCTGCGGCCGGGGATCACCGTGCCCGATTTAATTTCCTGAATCGTGGGGGCAACTGGAAGAGAAACAAACAAACAGAAGAAACCTGGTGGGTAAGTAAAAATAATCTCGAGCAGAAACATCACACGCGCATTTTATTCCCTTCTCTATTCTCAGCAGGCTGCTGCCCGACCGGCCCGTGCATCACGGGTCTGTGCTCCACGCTTCACGGGCAAGACCGGTCATTCTCGGCTTCATTTTTCAGGTCGAACAATAGATGAATGTTCCCGGGGAGTGTAGAGTAAATGCAATCCATTTAGGCCTTGCTTCCTGTTGGGAAAATGGCCTTGGTGAGGGGAGCTCTGCACGTCCCGGAGTCTGGCTGCACTCGGGAACAGCTCTGGCTGACTGGGCCATCCCGGGAGCAGGCACTGTATGTCCCGAGCTCTTCACAATTATAGTGTGTGCTGGATGGTGTCACCCCATTATACCCACGTGAAAACCGACGTCAGAGAGGGCTAACGGCGTGTCTAAGTTCACACAGCTACCCAGCTGCAGAGTTTGGATCTGAAGTCACACATGTTAATGCAACACCAGACTCTTTGCAGATTCCGGCTTTCGCCACCTGTGCCCTGTGCATAAGCGAGTCAGCAACCTTGGTGTGTGGCTTCGTCCTCCTGCCAGGCCTTTCTCCAGGCACCGGGCAGTCAGATGCCTTGACATGATGCTGTTCACATTTGAAATGGGCTGGGTATGGGCACAGACTATAGGCAGTAAATGCAATGACTACGCAGTGTAGATAGTGTTAGAAGGGATAAGCAAAATGGTCAGGCCAAACCCAACCCAGGGAACAAAAAGTCTTACAGCAGCAACACAGAGAACTAGAGCAATGGCAACTTCCAGATGTGGGTACTGGTTCCTTCAGCACCACGACTGGAGTAAGGGGCACTCTGGATATAGGGGAGGTTTCTTTGGAAAGCAGGAAAAAGGAGAAGGTTTAAGGTTTTTTGAATATGCAGTGAATATGAATGTCGTAAACATTCTTATGGTGGCACATTGCCGTTCCTTTTAGAGGAACCCCGGTAAATTCATCATTTTCAGTAAAGGGTGATACTTCATTTTGAAATTATGGCAACTCTTTCTCTGTGGTGCTTTTATTCTTAATCGTAAAGGTTCAATTTATAGTTCTGGGGAAAAAAATTGCAAAGCAAGTGTTTTTTATCAAAGTACTGGCTAATAACTTGGTGAAAAATGATATTTACTAAAAATATTCACGAGAAATGTTATCATATAATACACATACACAGCCTACATACAGTCTATACACGCATAAATTGTACACACACACAATGTGAGGAATCATTTCATCATTTTTAACGTATTTGGGGGAAGCAAAGTTTCACGCCTCCCTGTACAAGACAACAAAATACATAAAATACATCTGTAAATAAAACCCCATCTCCTTGTGACTGATTTACTTGTGAGAGGTGCAGAGAAGATTGTATTTTCATTATTGTTCTTACGGGCTTTCATCTCTCTCTCTCCCTGTCACACTAACAAGCTGTAATCTTTTATGATATCCAGCTATTATTGAAGATGAAATAACCATATGAACAGGAGATCCATCACCAGCTTCTATTGATAACCTGGTTAGTTTAATTACTCTCTTGTTTGTCAAGGGGGCCATGACTCATTACAAACAAAAGCATGAAATCCGGAACACTGCCTGAAAACCAGGCATAACGAACCAAAATAAAAATCTAATACATCATTAAAAGGCTCTTGTGCAGTATGGTGTACTGTGGCTTAGCTCTGGGAGCTCTACCATACACGTTAGGGACGTAGCCTGTTATCCGGGACTTCACGGGCCTCTGTGACGGATACTGCACATGGAACACAGCTGACATGTCATTTGGAGGGCAGAGGGCAAGTGAGAAAATGATTGTAGTTGGGTGGCATGTGTGGCTCAGTGAGTAGGGCACTGACCCCATATCCTGAGGGTGGCGGGTTCGAACCCAACCCCTGTCAAACTGCAACAACAACAAAAAAGTAATCGTAGTTTGCATACGAAAACTCCCAAGAGCATTTTGCACGGTAGAAAGTTAAAGAGCCAGGAGCTGTAGGGTGATCAATGTGGAGAGAAGATTCTCTTATAGATTTTATTTTGCGGCTAACATTATAAACTTGAACTGAAAGTCTCTATTGATTTTGGGGGTGGGTGGGTCATGAAAATTCATATTACATGTTCCTATTATTATGCGTCCTTTGGAGATGACTATTTGAGAGGAAGAACATCCACTTATTTATTTATTCTTTCTTCCTTCATCGATTTAACAAATATTTCTATCAGGGACAAAATTAATGGGAGAAAAAAATGCCAGCCTCACCTAGCTAATACAGACTGATACACAGGAAGCTGGGAATGAAGCCGGGGCAAAGGAGAGAGAGACAGCAAGACATGTCGTTCTGTGAGGCACCATCTCACAGCTCCTTGCTGCTACAGTAATGCCCGAGCAGAGAATTAAATGATGTGAGGAGAGGAATCGTGTGGCTATTTATAAGAAATTGTCATAATAGCAAGAAAGTTAAAAGCCCTGAGTGGACAGCACGCTTGAAGTGGAAACATTTTAACAAGCTTTAGTTCAACATGCTGTTTAAAGAAAAACAAAATGATCATCCTGGCCTGAGCAGGAGTGAGAAGATGAATCAGAAGAGAGGGTTGGGGCCAGGAGCTGAAGCCTGGGTTCTGTACTGTCTGATAGCTCATGGTCCAGGCTTTCGATTTTATTCTAAAGGTCCGAGGCTTGGCAATTTTGAGCAGAGGAATATCACTCGATTAAAATTTTATAAAGATTCTTTGCCTGCTGTGGGGAACAGGTTCTGCAAAGAGGCAGGAGCGGGAAGAGGAGATGGCATCACAGCTGGGAGGGTGTTGGAATGATCCCAGGACGGAGAGGAGTCATCGGCCAGTTCTTAGCAAAGGCAGGAACTGAGAAAAAAAGGTAATTAAATAGATCCTTGGTCACACTGACTCAACTGACTCAACTCAGTTCCCTGGCAATGACTGGGCATTTTTAGTGAAAAACGAAGTTTATACCCTCTGAACACGATTATTTGGTACAAATAAAAGGGTTCTATGGCCGCAGAATTGTCTGATTATACCCAGTAGGTTTCTTTTCTTCAGTTATTTTCTCAGAAATTGGGACACCCATGTTTGTCTTATGAATCTTTTACTGGACAGAACCTTTCCCCAACTTTCGTGAACAGAGAGCATTTCACAAAGTTTTACTGAAGCATCTTGTGGGCCTGACGTTTCTTCGGACAGATTCCGAGTATTTTAGGCTGTTGGACTAGAGGCTCTATGAGTTGTATTTCTCATCTTAAGGTGTGTAATTCATGACATTTAAGGTAAACAATCATCACTGGTTCACTAGTCTTCAGGGGCTCAGAAGCCATAATGTTGTACTCAGATTTCGTGTGAGGAGAAGACCTCAATTATTTGCACCATAAGAATATGGTCATTTGTTTATCTGGAATACATGTACCTGAAAATCATTATGACTAATTAAATCTCCAACTGAAGCTGCTACAGTGAAAATAATAAATATGCTTGGCCAAGTTGTACTAAATACTTATTTTCCACTACAATGTTCCATGTTTTAAGAAACCGTAGTGGGCCCTTCCTTGGAAAGCTGATCAAAAGACAGAACCTGAGTGATGGCCCCTCAGCCTGTTCCTCTCACCACCGCACTCCCTCCGTTGCTCTGGGAATCCTGGCCCTGTGCCAGCAGTGCGAGCTGTTTGCACTAGCAGTGGAAGTGCACATGGAAGCATCTTCTGTCTCCAAAACTGTTTTTCGTCCCCAGGAGATAGTTTTTAGTTCTGCGCGTGTGTGATCTTTTGATAACAAAAGGAAGAGGACTACCTGAGTCTCCCACATTCATGAGTAACATTGCATCCTTTGAAGTGGACTGATTTATACGCCCTGCTGAAATGTAGGCACACCCCTCTGTGCCAAATTGTACATGACTGTGAGCTGAAACAATTGTACAGTGAAAAAATCAGTTTCAAAGGAATAGTATTAAACAGATGTGGGCAAGAGCCAAAAACAGATGCGTGTGTGTGTGGGCAGCCAGCACTGAAAGGGTCAACAAGGACCATGTCACACCTGTGGGATTCGATGCTCCCAAAGAGGCACGTTCCCTTTTCATTTACTCAGTGGGGTTATTTTCTTGCATTGTTCAGACCGTCATTTCAGGATGAAGATAATGAAAGGGTCTTCATCCAAAACTCCAGGCCCTCGCAGGTGCAGGAAACAGAACCTCTGCTCTTGGTGCCAACCGAGCCTCATCAAGGTCCCTTGTTAGTCACCGAACAACAGCCACAGACCCTCTCCCTCTCCTGCCTTCTTCAAAGGGAGCTTGGGCTACGTCCAGAGTCTTATTTTTTTAAATGAGTAAATCCAATAACTACTTCATTGTTCTCACCAAGTTGAGGTAGTTGAAATGAAACTTTTGAACTCTAATAGCAAAATAATTTGATGACCACCTCACACACTCACAGGGATGGATGATGAGGAAGATGCCCACGGTTATTTTTAATAAACGAGTTCCCAGCAGGAAGTAGGAAATTTAGATTTCATCAAGAGAAGGAAATCATGAGGAAAGCCATCCTACAGAAGCGACATAGTTTGAAAATGCATGGGAAAGGAGCCTGCTGCTTTGTGGTCTAGATTCTGGAATTAATAGGCTGCTCTAAGGTAACTCTAAGGCAGGCTTGGTTGAACAAGCAGTTGTTGAAAAAATCTTAGGGTTTCCACTATATATCCCCAGAGCACATAATAGAGGCTGTTCTCAGTACATGATTGTCACAGACAGGGATGGTGATATTCAAAAATTTCTTCCTTGAAGACAGTTTGAACCTCAAGGTGAGGAATTACAATGACCTTTCAAAAGTTGTCACGGATCTCACAGAAAAAGATCACAAGGTCGAGAAACTCTGTCCATGTAGCAAACGTGTCCTTGCCTTACAGACTAATTTTAACTTGAAGGAAGCTAAGACCTTCATGTTATTGCT